GCTACATTGTAGCTACATGGCCAGCGGAAAAGGGCGGACACCAGCAGTGACACAAAGGGCGGACACATCTTAAGAAAGAATTGAGAACCCCTAACAGCAAACTGTTTGGGGAATAACAGTCCTCCAGTTTCTAGAACCCGACAGGTCCCGGCTCCAGTTCGGGGGAGACACCTGACAGGTCCCGGCTCCGCCTGGTCGCCATGAGATCCACAGACCGTCAGCCATCCCAATTTGATGTCGAAGCTCACATAGGCTCGGTTTCGCACGCGCCTGAGTCGCGCGAAACCCAAAACCCGGGCACATGTGTGAACCCCCCATGCCCAGGGGCCCAGATGCTGTTCCATTCGTCCACTTTTCGACCCTCAAGATCAAGCTGTAAGCCCCCAAATTCCACTGCACAAGACTCCTCGAATGCGAAGCCACTCAGTCGGAGGACGACTTGGATAAAGAGGGATCCAAGTCGACAGGTGCCTCTCCCTTCAGCCACCAGGGGAACTCGGTTCACCCCTTCAGCCGGTGCTTCTCCCTTCGTTCCGTTCGTTCTCCGTCCCGCTACGACGGAGCCGAGCCCAGAGCGGAGCTGCGGAGCGCTCCGGCCTCCGGTAGTGATTCAGAAGGCTCTGCACCTGGGGGGAATTCGGATGAATTCGACTCCACACAAATTGGGTGAAGAGGGGGAAGAACCTCCTGGCAAACATGGACTCTCACCATCACATACCATCACTGGTCCTCCCAGAATCCATGTGAACCTCATGTCAATCACTGCCAATCACTGAGCAGTGAGTCCAGGAGGGCACCGAGCTATCCAAGATCCAAGTCATGTTGACCCTTGGGGAATGACCTCGTCAGCATGGACCACCTGCCCTTTCGGTCCAAGCCACGAGCCGCCGAGTGAGCCGTGGGCCGCAGCGGCTGGACGCGCGCTGCCAGAGCTCCCACTCATAGAACCTCAGGTGTTCACTCATGGGGTGCGAGCTTAATCCAGCTCAAAAACACATGCATGATCACAAAAAGAGCTCGATCCGGAAAACCGAGATCATTATATGCATTTACTAAATTATATCATAGTAGTCTGTACAGTAGTTAGATGTGCAATGCAGGACCTCTTTGTTTTGAGCCCCCTCCAAAAGATGTTCACCACCTCCTGCAGATTCGAGCCAACGGTTGTGGAGGGTCGATTTGGAGATTGTCTGTTCTCTCATTCAAAACCCAGCGTCTCATACCTCTCGACATAGGTCTCGTGCCAGCAAACAAATCCATCTCGCGCCAGAAGCGCCAGCAGCACGAGGTTCCTTGGAAGGCCAAGGAATAGAAAGACGCCATCATCTGCCCCAAGAGTTCATAAGAGTTCTCAGGCTGCAAAACTTCACTGGAATGAACGCAGTAGAACCTAGCCGTTCTCTGCGCGTTCGAACCGATGGGATTCACCCAGCGGGACCGAGCGTCAGCAGCAGCAGGACCAGCACCAGCCCCAAGGTCCAGATCGGGGACACCCACTCCACGCTCGAAGCACACGGGAGCGCCTGGACCTGGCACACCCGGAGACCCAGCGACTGGACCCCCCCAACGAGGGCAGGTCCAGACACACCGACGCGTGACCCGCGTGGATCCGGCGCCGAAAAGCGGCCGAGCACGTCAGATGTCTTCAAGCCTTAAACCCAGCATTTGGGGGCGCCCCGTCTTTACTGGCTCCAGGCTTCACCCAACGGCATACCCGACCCGACGGTCCCACCCAACGGTCTTCCCACCAGCATGCTGCTCAGCACAAAGAAGAGCGCGAAGCGCCGATCCCAGCGCAGCAGCACGAAGTCCGAGCGCCCCGTGAAGGGGCTCACGGCCCGGACCACGGCGCCTGGGCGGTTCGGCTTTCGGCTCCGGGCAGAGCTGTGAGAGGAGCGAATCCGTGCAGTGCAGTGGATGAGGATTCCCCAGAACAGAAGCAGTGCAGTGCATGTGCTTTTTCTGGAGCTGAGAGCATCACCCAGGCTTTGCAAAAGGCTGGATGACATAGTTACATGAACTGCAAAGCAAAAAAAGCAACTCCCAATCTGGGTGGGTTTGGGGATGGTGACAGAGGCCTTCAATCATGTTCTCAGATCATCCCTTATGGTACGAGTACTGGTCGGTAACAAAAGCTGATGACCAACAAACAGCTCTCGGCAACCCTGATTTGACACCTTTGAATACCTTTCAAAGACTCGCCAGGGCCTACAATTTTACTTGGCCATGGAAACAAGATGCTCCTCCACCATGGGGAGGTTAGCCCTGCGTTCCAGCAGCCACCCAGTCAGTCATCCAGGGCACCATGAAGGATGGAGAGGAAGAAGAGGAAGCTGCTGCGACCCGCAGGGCTCAGCACGGAGGAACCAATGAGAAGAGCCTTCACCAAGAAGATGTACCTCTAGTGAAAGCACCAGAAACCCTCCAGGTCGAGACCAGATGGAGCACCGATTCACCGAAGGATCCGGGGTGAGTGATGGACCGCTTGAAGTGATGAGTCTGCTTCTCGTCTGTGAGTGCGATGGTCGCCCGGTGCGTCCACGAAATGTCGGGGTGAATCGCCCAAAGACAGGGGAAAGACTTAGACCACCAAACCATCCAGACCTTTTTGGGTCGAGAGTCTCGGTGCCGAAAGGGGGCAAAGGTGTTTTGGGCTGGAAAGTAGGGCACCTCCTAGTTCGCCACTGCCCAGTGTGCAGAAAAACTTGCGTTCTTCTTGATCGCGATGCGTTTTTCCCTTGTTCCCGAATGCGAGCCGCGAAGGGTTCTCGTTGAAGTCTGGGGGGTCGACTCGGGCCCCGAGCCTTGTTCGCAACTCGTTTTCGACTGTGTTCAATTTGTTGTGGGGGTTCACTCTACATCGGATGGACCGTTTTTTGGGGGGAAACTCCATCCTGGCGCCACCACCACATCGGTGGCCAGGATGGAGTTCCGCGTCCGGTGTTGGATCCAAGCATGAGCAGCGCGGTCACTCCTGGTGATCGGCTGGAAGGGTGACAGGTTCGTCCTCTTCCTTCCGCAAGCCAAGAAGCATCTCCCAGTTCCAGCAACCCAGGCGGTAGCCCAGGCTAAGCACCGCGTACTCCGGAGGGAACTCGAAATCATCTGGAAGGCCTTGGCTCACCCGCTCGTCCAGTGCATCCGCAGTGATGCACTGATCTCACCGGTGATGAGAGACAGCTTGGACACGATCCGGGTGAAGCGGCAGCTTCTTTTTGGTGGTGTTCTGTGGTGATGATCCTGGTTTGCGTGAGTTCACGGCCTCTTTGGTTTTCTGTGGTTTCAAAAACGGATCTCTTATACCAGCACCCTCCAACAGGTCTCCTTTGGAGGGTTGTTAGGCTCTCAGGGGTCTCAATTGGTGACCTGTGAAGTCGGGTGCTGGTATTTGATATGTCCATATATGTCAAATATACTCTATGTGAACATCAAGTGACACACATCTCTTAGTCTATCCCTGATCAACTCGATGCGGCACACAATAGTGACAGACGCACCCACAAGATCCCACAAGTGTTTGGTCTACGCCGTCAATATCCTTTTACTTGTTCTTGTTTGGATGGTATTTGGCCCTAGCTGTCTTTGCCCTTGGCAGAGGCCACCTCTCTGAATTCAAGTGCAGCTTTTCTCCGCCCAGAAGCTGTTCCTTACTCGGCGCAGCACAAAGCTCAGCACCACCGGCACCCCGACAGCCCAAAGCAATGCCACAGCGAAGCTCAAAGACCTTCGGCATGGAAAAAAAAGCAACATCAAACGAGTCGATTGGGTGCATGCATTCACCACCCCAATGTTCCTTTCTTCCTTCACAAGAAAAACGACTCCTGAGTTGCCGAACCAGAGCTCAAAAACCCAAATGCCATTGCTGTCCCACTGTCCCCGACACGCGGGACCCATGCATCCAGCGCGCGTGAAGGGCACCTCGAAGCTCCAACACTGCACCTGGAGCCGAACGTCGCCGGACGTCACCGGTCTGGTCTGCACCTGCGCCGACCCTCAATCCATCACCCAACCCCTGGACCTCCCGGGAGATCTATCACCCACCTCTTCGCTGGGCCGGGAACTGGACGATCCTCCCCAGGAACTGGTTCGCTCCGGCGCGTTCCCTCGTCCTGGGTCAACCACCGAGCCCCGTGATACGCCTCGCAAGGGTCACCCGGCGCAACCTGGATGAAGAGAAAAGCCTGGAGAAAACCCCACCATTTCATCCTTCATCTGAATTGGTCCCCCCCAGACACGCCACGGGAAATCCCTCGCTTCAGGCAGAGACCCGATGGCGAGGCTTGATGCTCCGTTCGACCCGATCGTGGGCCGAGCACCTCCGGGGCGAAGAAGGAGCGCCACAGCGGCTCGTCGCCCAGGCGCACGCAGCGAAAGGGCTCCACCTGGGCCAAGCGACGCGGGAGGCACGGGCGAGGCCAAGGGGTCTGGGTCTGGGTCCCAACAGAGGTTGGTTCGAACCCGACTGTTCGACTATCCGATCCCAGTTGGGTACCCCAGGTGACGGTCCTTAGTTCACGGTCATTGAATACCTCTCTCGAAGTGAAGACATTTCATCTTTCATGCATGGCCCCCCGAGTTTATATAGGACCAATCTCACCCAAACTCTTCACGGCCCATTCATGTCTGTTCAACACCCCGACTGCGCCCAGGTGCCAGCCCTTGCAATACCGGCGCATAGAGCACGAGCAGCAGTGCCAGCAACGCAGGCATCGCCTGCGCTAGAAAGGTGCGGTGAAAGCCACGGCGGAGGCCCTGCAGTTCGAAGGCTTCGAAGAGATCCAACGAAGTCCAAAGACCACCTGAGCACAGTCCAAGACAGGCCAACCTGGCTTTTTCGAGGTCCAAGCCAGACTTTCCCCAAAGGTTCCTGATGTTGAGCACCATCCGACGTTTCAAGGCGTTGAAAAAGATTGGGTTCCTCTGCTAGGTTTTGCTGGGAGAAACTGAATCGAAAACATCTGTTGCAGCCGGAGGTGGCGGATGACTCACTTTGATGTCCAAGTCGACTACCCCAGCTCCCTTTTCCCTCCAGGTGGCAGGTCTTCTGGAAGTAGGCCTCACACGTCGATCGAACAGACATCAGGTGCAAAGCAAACAAATGACCCAAGAGTTACCGGAGCGAAGTGTGAAACTCCAAAGATGGGAGACGTTCTTCTCCAGACCTGTTCCGGTTCGATGAATCACTGGTCGAATCTCAGAACGCCCCCCTGTCAACTTCCGAAAAGCACCGATGGATGGTCTCCAGCAAGGTCTCCAGCTGCAATTGAAAGGAAAAGCAGGAAAAGCAAGAACCTCGACCTAGCCCCCACGTTCTTAAGAAGACGTTCCACATAGACATGACGATGTGACACACCTTGCAGAATCAAGCAACCATACAGAATCAAACCACCACTGCTGCTGTTCGCCGTACAGCCGCCCGTCCCACCCATCCCCCATCGGCCTTGCAGAAGGCCAGCCAGTCTTCCGCGTCGTAGCACGCCAAGGTCTCACGCGTTCCATCCTGAAACACAGAGCAGGTCTTTTGTGCGTACCAAGAGCTTGCCGGGTCAAAAAAATATATAAAACGGCCCTTCCGAGACCCGCGATTCCCGGACTTCAAACGTCCTCAAAGGAGGACCAGCTGCGAGCTGGTCGATGCCTATGTGTAAGAGTCCGATGCCTATCTGACAGGTTTCGTCAGTCCTTGGGGAGTCCACGACCGAAGAACGTCTTCAACCCGTTGCACCCCGGTCCTTCACGAGCTCCTCGTAGAAGCGGGACGCCCTGCGGTAGAAGCTCCAATCCCTCATGAGGGACACCTGGACCTCGGTCAGAGGCCAGATGGTTAGCGGGATTCGATTGAAAGGCTGAAGGCTCTAAAGGCTGTGAAGGCTAAAAATGAATCCAGGATGAAGGTCTGAGGATTCCTGACAGCTTCCGCTGTGATCCTCTATTCACCCCAAAGAAATCCCACTCACCCAAAGACATTGCCAAATCGAGACCCCAGTCACGTAGATGACGCTGCAAAGGTAGAGCAGCATCCAAAGGATCCATGGCAATAGGAACCACAAGAGCAAGCAGAAGAACTCCTCACTTGGCCGCCCCACCTCCCCCCCAAAACGCCTGTGATTCTCGTTGCCTTGAACTCCCAATGGATGGGCGTTTGGGTCCCCCCCCATGGATTCACAATTCACCCCAACAACTGCGCGCCTCTCGCCCTTCCTCCCCAGGTCTGTCGGCCACGTTGGCGAAGGCATCTTATGATGGGCGAGCTGTCCACGTTCGGCGCCGAGGCTCCAGCGACGTCTCATAGCCTTTCAGCTCGTCATGAAGCCCCACGCGCTCCGCACGAAACCACTCGCTGTGCCGCGTCTCCGCCAGCGCGGCGGCCAGAGCCGCCTCCGAGCCGCCGGGGCCTCCAGCGTGCAGCTGCTCTGACTGAGCGGACTGGACCTGGGAGCGACGTTCCAACAACAAGGGCTGCAGGTTGCAACCAATAACCCAATTGATCCCAATCACTTCCCAAACAGAAGGAATCACTGCACCCGTCTCTTTGGCACTTTTCAAGTGTGGGAATTTGAGCCACGCTCCAACCGTGTAGATGCTGGGTGTCGACTGTTCTCAGAGATGATATGCCCTCCAGGAATCACAAGGGGTGGTTAATGGACACCCCTTAACATCTAAGGGGCTATCAATAGAAGCCGCCATTTTAGGGTGTCCTGGTTTGTGTTCACACCGGATCCACAACTCCGGAAGTTTGATCAACTCATGAAGGTCACCTGGACCGGCTGCCGAGTTCGGCCGAAAAATGGCTGAGGAGTCGGCTGCGCTTGGCCAAGCTGCGGTCCGTAGCTTTGGGCGGAACAAAACGTCGGTCCAAGCTTCTTGCACTGCGTCCCTGTCCTAGGTGCCCGGGCCAGCTGTCTGCTCACCGCCACGCCCCCCCAATGCTCCTGGGAAGCCGCTGGGCGAAGCTGCCGGAAGCTGAACTCCCAGGACAGCACAGCGGGCCGCGCGCGCCAGCGGCGCTGACCACGAGGGCAACAGTTGTAGAGTTGCCTGGATAGAAGGGATGACTGGGTCACTGGCAGGACTGGCACGACCGACTGGGTGATGCCCTAAAACCAGAGGGAGACTTGACTGGCTCTCCAAAGTCTCCCAATCCACCGACCTGTCGGATGAAGATCTGCCCGACGACACCCTCAGGCCTCCAACACGAAGGGCTCCGAGTGCAAGACCTGGCGCTCGACCGACGCGGAACTCCGGGCGCTCGTCCTGGAAGCGGCAGGGGATGACCCAAAGGATCTCCCGTCCGTGCATGGTGGACGCCGAGCTGCTTTGGTCGGAAAAGAAAGGCACCTTTTTCCGCCCTGTTCTGGTTGAGTGGCTGGGACAACCATGCCAAGCCAATCCCAAAGGTTGAGCATAGCCAGTCCACTGTGATGCGGTCCCGTCTTGCATGTGTTCTCAGAGCTCCGGTGGCTGGGCACTTTTTGAGGGGTCGCCCTCCCTTAATCGGCTGGGCGTTTTAAGATAGCCTTCCTCTTCAAGACCAATGCATGGACTTCGGGGGGCTTAGGGAAGATGCTTTGCGTCGACTTCAGAAAGGACAGCAAGGATGTCCTTCGAGGGCACCTCCACAGCGGTGGTGAAGAGGGCATCAATCACCACCAAGTAGAGGAGGAAAATCTTCATGTAAACCAATCCTGAAGGGAATTTGAAAGCAAACGAAATGCAACGGTATCGGAATCTTTAAAAAGACAGTTGAGGTCTCTTCAGCCCAATAAATCAATACACTTACAGTATACCATCTTAAACCCCTTTCCCGTCACACACGCCATTTTTAGCGCGGGTGTTGATGGACGGGAGGAGGGTAAGTGCTTTGTCGCTTTATCACACTCTTCAGGTGGTTGATGGATGAGTGGATGTCAAGGTGGACCATGATGGGGGGCTCCAGGAAGCATCACATGTATGTCCATGTCCTGTCACACAAGCTAACTGAAGAAGCGAAGGACTTGGGATTCAGATACCCGTCACAATTCATCGGGGGCTTTGGTTTGTGTTCAATGTGTGGGTGGATGGGCCCAGCGCCAACAGATCATTTCGGCCCAGCTTCTGAGATCCTTCGGCCGGTTCCTCCTCTCCACTCCCAGCTTCGCCAAGCACATGGCCATCCACAGCACCAGCAGAACCAGACACAGCAGACTTATCACAGTCTCTAGACCACACGCGCTGCAGCCGCCATCGGCCACCTTCACCGCACCAGGCACACAGCTAAAGCACCTCACGCGCCAACCCCGCGCACCCCCGTGCGAAGGGCAAACGGCGCAAACGGCGCAGAATGCGCAAATCAGGTCGGGTGATGTCTAGGTGGTCAGGGGTCATCTGGGAGCCAAAACAGTCAGGATGTTTGGGATGACCAGGTCGACGTCCAAGCCATTGCTCTGAAATAACATCTCCACACCATGAAAAAGTGGTTGACCCTCCATCCTCTACTTTCAAGCCCAGCAAAACTAAAACTCTGCCTGGCAAGTTGGTCAACATCCAGTCAAACAAAAAAGAACGAAACCGCCCGAAGCTTCCGAGGAAGCATCCTTGCTTTAAAGGTAGAAAGGGTGACTTCCATCTTGGAAGCTTAAAACAAAAACCAAAAGCCAGCTACTGCGCACCACCCACTCCCGGGCCAAGCCACTGCGCCCCACCGTTCGCTGCAGCACAGCTCTCGTTCGCCCGGCACGCGCTGCTTCCAAGCGCGCTCCGCCCGCTCCGCCCCGCCTCGCACCGCTCCCAGGTCATCACGGCGCCCCGCCGCCGCGCCCAGTACCCCGGGAGGTTCCGACCGCTAATGAGGCCTCCGGACGGTGCGGACTGGGCGGACGGGGCGGACTGGAAGGGGGGGCGGTGACGCACGCAGAAGAGGCGCGGAGGCGAAAGGAGTTCGTCGTGAGTCGGGAGCACGGGGTGAAGGGGAGTTATTGATACACACCCTTCAGAGTTTCCTAGGAGAAGGACTGGGTCGCAAAAACGGGGCTTGGATGCGTCTGGCCTGGCTGTTCCAAGCACGCAGAGAAAACGGAATCCGACACACTCATCGCCTGTGGCATTGAAGTCAGCCCCTTCCACAGCAGGCAGGCATTCACTGGAGTTGGAGTTTGGCTGATAGCTGCCGACTGGGCACTCTTCACCTCACTTGATTGATGAGAAGCTCCAAAGACTATAGCTTTGAACCACCCACAGGCAAGAACATCCACCGACTACAAAAACCTTTTTGTGCAGCCATCAGTTTGGATATGTTTGGATTTGCGAGAACCGAACCTGCACAAGAATCCGGGAGGACATCAATAGAAAACTGAATTGCATCCTTCCGTGATTTCTCAACAAAGAGTCATGACCAAAACAAGAACGAATTCTCAGCACCTCCCAGTTCAAATGGCACGTAGACCTCAACTAGAAACAAAGCACATTGGAGGGCTCCCAAATGTTTCCCTGGAAGAAGGTGTTGGCTTTGTCACCTGCAGGACCTTGATTCAACTCTTGGGCCAAGGCACATCGCCTGCCATCCCAACTCCCCCTGTGCCCGGCCCTGCACGGCGCACACTCCGTGGCGCCCGCGTGCGGCGCCACGCTGCCCGCCGCGCAGGCCACGCACGCCGAGCCCTTCGCGGCGGCGAAGCGGCCGGGGGCGCAGGGGACGCAGTGGTCCACCAGGCTCGTGGTCCCTTGGGGGCAGGGCTCACATCCTGAGCTCGCTCATAGGTCGGAAAGAGGGCGGCTCACGAGGTCAGTCCCAACGGAGACCCGGACGGCCTTGAAAGGGGCCGACGCTTGGTTTTAAAAAGGGATGGGGGTCCGAAAATGGCCGAGCAGTTTCAGGGTGACTCACGTTCATGATTCATGAGTTGTTTGTCCAACACTGATCAAACCCCAGTCTCATCCAAAGGGGCGATGTTGGGCACAACAAGCCGAGGAGAAGCCATGGATTTCGGCAGAACAATGCAGTTCTGGAGGTTATTCGTTTAGAGGTTCTTCAATCTCTTCCGTAGGGTTCATCATCATGAACTCATGAACCCGGAAAACATCGCACTTGCCCTACCCAAGTCCCAGGACTTTCTTTACCATCACTTCATCCTACACTACACCATCCATTGTTTCCTGTCACTCATCGCTTTCCACTCACATCTGCTTCTTCACATCCCAGCTTCGAGCTGCCCCGGCACCGGACACTGCCCCGTCCCCACAGGTGTGGCAGCTGCCGTTGGCGCCGAAGCTGCCGGGCCAACAGGGCGCGCAGCCGCAGTTCAGCTGGTAGAGGCCCGCGCCACAGAGGGTCGTGCCGTTGCACAGCTCACAGGAGCGGGTGCCTGGGATTCGAAAAACAAACATGACAAGGGGTTTTTCCATGTTTTTTCAAGCGGTTTGGTTGAATTGGCTCCAAACAAACGGTGCGGATGCCAAACTCATTCACCAGCCTGATATTTGAGTGTTCTAGTAGTTGTAGTTTGTAGAGTCTTTAGATTGGTTGGCTGCTCCTAGAAGAATGAACAAAATTGTTTTCCCAGGATGCCGTTTGGGAACTCGTGGACGTACTCCGAGCTCGCGCAAGTCTCACAATAGCGTCGCTGCAACTGAGAATCCTAAGTCAGCATGCAAGGAGCGATCGATGGCACTCTGTATCTCCTTCTTTGCAAAGAAATGGAAATATCCAGAAGACGAATTACAAGACTTGCTCTGAACTGGGAACACTTTGCAGCTCCCCTCCCCTCTGCCCTTTTCATGCATGACAAATCCAAACCTCTGTTCCACTTGTACATGTATCGATTTGTCATCCAATTGTACCCCACATTCAAGCATCCTCAGCACATCGTCCATAGAAAACAAAAATATGCAAAAACATCCTTCTGATACCCACATTGGCCCCTCCCCCCCCCCCCCCCCCCCCCGGCTCCAGGATCGCCACCTTCCCCGCCGCGCAGCGCCCGCACAGCTCTCCGTGCGGCAGCCGCTCCACGCCGACGCCCGCGTGCGCGCCGGCCGCGCGCCCGAAGCAGCGGCGGTCGCGGCCCGGGGGCGGCACCGGCCACACCTGCGTGGCGGAGGCCCGGAGACCCGGAGGAGAAGGGCATCAGGACAGCTTCCGGGTGGAGGGCCTCAGATTCGGAGCCCCATTTGGGTCCGTGGCCCCGATCGCCCAAAGGTTCTGCGAGATTCTCCTGGCTCCCTAAAGGCAAAAGATTGTTTTTTGCAGGGACAAGCCTTTCAGAAGCCCGGTGTTCTGGCTATCAAAAACAAGCGGTATATACATGTGTTACTTATAATATAACTCATTACAAGTCAGTATATATCAGGTTTAAAGATCTGCAGGCAAAAGAACCCACCTAGCACTCCCACCGGAGGAAGCAGAGCGGGCGAGTTCAGCGGTATGGCACAGGACTCAGCGGTGCAGACCACATCCTGGCTGGGGAAGAGGAGGACACAAATCTTGACAAATCAAAAAGGGAACCACCCCTCCAACAGGCCCATTACAGCAATAATGGCCCCTACACATGGCCCAAAAATGTTGCATCAACTCTCACCAACTCCCACATGTCGAACAGGCCAGGAGGTTCTGTCTTGGGGCACTTCTTGGTGACCGAAGCGACCTGTTTTTGAAACACCCGATCCTGGCGGATCCAGGGGTGTCCCTTCCCTGAAAGGTCAAAGAACACCGCTCTGCTTTGCAAGCAGAGGGGCATATGGAACTGATCACATCAAGACTTGCGTGTTCCTTTGGCAAATTGAGATGTTCACAACGCTGGACGGCTGGGGGGGATCACTTGCAGGTGTTGGGACACGCCGGTTTGGCAAGCAGGTGCTTCTCTACAACTTGTGATCCATCTCAAAACCACTGTTTCACAACCCTTGCAGGGGCAGTCAGGAAGTTTGGGTATATAATGACAGTATGACCAAACCAAAACCATGAAGTTCAATTGCAACAACAGCTTGTAGTCATGTCTTCGTCATGTCTTCAAGTCCCCTCTCAGGACAACACCTTCGCATACACAAGCCCAAAGCCCAAAGGAAAACCACATGCAATACCTTACACAAGAGTTCATGACAAGACCAAGATCGTCGCCGAGTTCGGATTCCTTCCGCCTCCGCGGCGGGAGGGAAACGGACGGCCGAACCTCCACGGCCACGGCCAGCGGCCACGGCGATGCTTCGCCCGGCACCAGCTGCAGCACCCAGGCACCTCTCAACCGGAGAAAGCAGAGGTCACAGCATCGCAGCATCGCTGTGCAGGACACATGAGGAAAACACACACACACACACCGGTCTGTTTTTATGGAGGACCGGCGGTTGAGATGCAAAATGACGTGAAGCCATCTTGGTGGTTGAAAGAGCTGCATTTCTTTAAAACAAACCTCCGTCGTGCACCGCATAAGGAACACGACCAGCGGGCAAGGCGGCGGCAAAGACCCTTGGCACTGCCAGGGTCCTTGGCCTAGCGGGTTGAAAGGTGGCTGATTGAGGTGGCTGATCGGATCCCCATCCGGATCACTCTGATTCGTTCCACTTCATCTGAAACAGACCAAGTCACCGTACGGTTTACAACCAACAGAGGTTGAAGGACCTTATAGACTATCCCATAGGCACCCCAGTAGTCCTTTAAGGTCACTTACAC